ACTCCGAGATCTAGGAATGAAACTTGGAATGTTGAGAATAATGCTTGAGCATACTATAAATATGAACCAGATGCTGTGCTCGAGACAGACGCATGTCTTTTACTGGGATCTACGTATTATGACGGATAAAATAGTTGATCATAACCACCCTGGCATCTTCGTATTAGACAAAGAAAAGAAAGCAGCTACTCTAATCGATGTTGCAACCCCTTTGACTCACAACTTGCGCAAGTAAAGAGCGGAAACATTAAGGAATTATGATAACTTGGGAATTGATTTTAAAAAAACAATGGCAAGTTGCACGAGGTCTCCCATTTCTTCATGGTCGTATCAGTTGATAGAGTCGTCACCAGGAACTTTTAAACATCACAAATATCTGACGAAACCCAGAAAGCCACCCTTCTTCGAACAACTTATATTGTCAGAAAATTCTTAAGAGCGTGACATTATTATTATTATTATTATTATTATTATTATTATTATTATTATTATTATTATTATTATTATTTGCACTTCGGCTTTAAGAAAAGGTAATTGTGAATGTTATTTTCCCAACTATAGTATTTCCGAGCTTTAATGCTATAAGTAAAACGATAATTTTGATTCATTCCGATAATTATAATAATCTTGTACTCTGATAAGATATAACAATTATGCACTTGAGAGATGAAAACATATCCCTACTTCCAGAATTTTGGTATCGCTCAAGAAAACACCTAACAATCCATTAACTTATTAACTTTTAGTACTTATTTATTAGTCAGGCATTGACTGTTAAGGCTTTGAAATAATTTTCTAGACGTTTTGGGAGAGCGTTGATGTAAAAAGAATGATTTGGAGAGGCGACCATATGTTATTGGAATTTTAACTTTACAGAACGACTATTGCTTATTTCACAATTTCCGTGGGAAAGCAGTCACAGATGTTTGGCCGATTCCATGAGTGCTTCCGCCCGACCGCCTAGAGTTTGGTTTATACAATTTTAGGTCCCCGAACGCCGTTTCATCGCTTACGGCCAGAAATCAAATCCTGTACATATATATATATATATATATATATATATATATATATATATATATACATACATACATACATACATACATACATACATACAGGAACTTGTGAACATAAGACACCCGAATTTAAGAAGTTCAATGATGAACCAACCATACCATATTTTTCCTGACAAGATCGGTTACTAAAATGTAGTGACCAATCAGTAATAGAAGAAACTGGTAAGGTGTTCATAACTAAAGAGAGAGAAAAAGATATGCAAGAAGTCAAAAAGCAGCAGTAGAATAATGCTAAGGGATTAATCTAGGTAGGATTTAAACAAACTCCTGTATTATAGATTGAATAATTATGATAAACTACTTCAAATATTTTGGTATAAGTAAAATTTTATTGTAAATCAAGTAAAATATATTAAGGCAGAAAAACTGAGTTTTCTTTTAAATTTTATCTTTTATATATGTTCGTATTGAAAAGGGAGTTAATGCACAAATTGTACGTATGTAACACTTGCAAGGGTCTACCAAGATAGCACTTGTGACACAATGGCAAAAATGAATAGTTATAGATAAGACGTTTAATGAGATCGTTGGGGACACAACATACAGAATGCTGAAAAATCAAGATTACTACAAAAAAAATGTACTCTCTGATTTTCAGTACCTTCAAACTTGATAAGCCTTTGTATACCGTCTTTCCCTTTTATGCGAGTGTCAAATAACGCGTTGGTTCTTAGCGTGAACCTATCCTTTTCTTTTAAATTGATCCTTTTACGCCGTACGGTTTATAAAGATTATTCTACTAGGAAATCGCGAGAGAGAATACTCTGCTTCCAAACGGAGTTTTATTTGGTCAATATCTGTCGTTATCTTGCGAAATTATTTACCCGTAACCGATGTGGTATATTCTGTCGCGTAGCTGGTATGGCAGGGTTAACGTTGACTGCAATGTTTTGAATTAGTATTTTGAAGAAAGAAAATGGAATTATTTCAAAATTGTATACAAAAACTAGTTCCATGTTCCGTGCTTTCATATAGATAGATAATTTATTTAATTTGCTTTGAGCATTAAGCCCGGTGGCAAATTCTTCACACTTATTATACATCTAATACAATAATATAATACAACAAATATTGATAAAATACATACAATACCTAGTACAATATTAATTTATTTAAAACATGCCTTATATATGCAGGGATCCTTCACAGACTACCGATCTTATTGCTCACAACAGTATTACTTCAATTTAATTCTTAACACTTGAGTGCGAGTGTTAAGAAAGGGAAGTAGTAAATCAAGAGAATTAGAATATAGAATATTGTGCGTCCAGTATTAGAGTACGGAGTAGCGTGTTGGAATCCGTATTGAAAGGGCCAAATAAACTCCATCGAAAGAGTTCAAAAAGTAGCCACAAAATATGTTAAAAGGGGAAATTCGTTAGGAGATATTTCCAACAAACTATCAACCCTTGGTGAACCGTAGGGAAAAATAATGTTGTGTATATTTTACAAAGCAATAGAGAAGAATCCAGTGTGAAGGGGAAATTTAGAAAAGAATGCATGAACTCGTTTACTTAGCACGTGACGACCATATTAGAAAAACACGTCCACGGAAACAGAGAAATGATGTTGGAAAATACTCTTTTGTAAATAGATCTATCAACTCATGGAGTACCCAGTGTGCAGCAGTAATGAAGACTTTTCCCATATTTATACATACAATATCCCATAGTTATGGGAAAAGTCTTGTGTCAAGTCAAGCTTTAAAAAGCTTGAAACAATATTGTAGAATCGTGGATATAATTGCTGCGAAGCCTAAATATGCGTTCTCACGCAGGAAACAAACCCAACGTGTTCGGTAATGACGGTAAAGAATTCTATACTGGTCGTCTGAAGTTAACTGCTTTATTGGAGTTTGTCACGACATGATTCTCCAAACACAGCGTTCGTACGCGCAGTGGGCACTAAATCACTCTGTTATCATCGCTTAACACAGCTATACTATCCAAACACAGTCAGTGTTGATGTTTTTTAACATTATTTATGTAAGTTCAGTTTAAAATTGCTCTGGTCATGAGCGACCACTCTCACACGAGTTAAGCGACACCAGATATCATTGCTCGAAGCAGTGACGGCCGGTAACTAATTATATTGGTGGTGCCAGTTAGTGATGCGACACCGATAACAAAACATCAATGTTACCGATTATCAATATTCGAAACATTGATATTAATACAGCGTTAAATGAGTAGAGACGGTGCCAATCGTTAGGTGGATCAGCGTTTTAGAAAGAGTATATACACATATTTGTGGTGAAAATTTTCTTTTCCTTCCCTTTCAAGGTATTTCCATAACATTCTATTACCCTACAAGCCACCACTGGCTCTCAAAAATCTCACGCTGCGTCCCGATAAGGAAATACAACTATAGCAATGGTAATCTTCACCATTCTTCCTCTTTTTTTGCGTTACGTCGGAAATTCGTCTAATCGTGTGATACATGTTAATAAACAAAATGTTTCTGACCACTGACTGCGTTATCTGAGAACCACTTCAAAGGGGATCATTTATACTTCTTTTAAGGGACACTGAATCTGTTTCGCTCTTGCCAAAAATGTGCGTTGGAAATGCAGGTGATCGCTTAATTTACCGCTAACACCGCTTTGAACAGGTAACACTGCTGTATCAAAACTGATCAATCATAACTGTGACATTTCTTCACTTCATGGGCGTGATATTCCGACTAGATTAGAAGATGCAATTAAAATCGCGACGAAGTTTCAAATCACGAATGAAAAACGTGGATTGTTATGTGAATCAGAGTTAACTCTCCCGCGAGTTAAGCAACGCTAGGAATCATTGATCTAGGTATTGTGACGGTGTGTCCCGACATAGAAAAAATATTAAATACGAGAGATGGGCACATAACATGTGGGGAAAATACTAGAGCGAAAGTAATTTTCACCACTCTTCTATGTCTTGAAGCATTACAAATGAAGATCGGAAATCCATGAGGAATTTCTGATCGACTATTACAAAATAATTCACAGTGTTCCTGACCGCTGTCTGCGAGGTCAGGTAGGCGCTCCAAAGAGGGAATACTTACACGTGTCTTACGGGACCTAAGATTCGTTTCACAAAAATGTGCCCGTTAATGTAGGTGTTCGCTTAATCGATTTTGCGATTGAGCTGGTTCAGCTGCTCTATTCGACCGTATTATTCGACAGTATAACGCTTAGAGTTTCGAGCTTTTATGCCTAAGTGTACGGGTCCAAATTCGCTGGAGGCCGTGCGTTTTTAAGTGCGAAAACAAAATCCTTTGGAAGGGACCTAAAGCAGTCTGTGTCATCTTATAGATTTACTGCTTGTAAAAGAGCCTGTCAATTTAAGCCTAAAAGATGCCTCTGAGGTAAATTCAAAACCGCCGTCCGAGAAGTGCCTTGTTTCTCCACTAGATGGTGACAGGTACGTAACCAAATTTGCATCGTCAGATGGAAGAGTATGAACTGAATATCACCACGTAAAATGAGACATAAATGAATTGAAATTAATTACTAGGCTGGTCAAAGATAAATACATTGCGCGCGAGCAGTAGTCCGTAGCCGAGACGTGCGGGCGCGAGCAGGCTCCACAGTTATATCTATACTGAATATTTGGTTCATAATAGAGAGACACATCGGTTCAGGCGAAGACGCGTACCTTTCGCCAAAGAGGTCCGGGTTCTATTCCCGGACAATCTCATGGGAACTTTGTTATATAAAAAAACGAGTTTGTTTGCTTAACAAGGGCTAGTCTAACCCCCGTGAAGCGCCCTAATCCCTTCCTTAGTGGCGCAGGAGCATGTGACAACCTGTGTCTGTATACGAGTACGTGAGTTCCGCAAATCTTACCGTTACCACCAAGTTACAAAACAATATTGTGGTCGGTAATGACCTTGTAGTTAATCCACCGTAAATAAATTAGATTTAAAACAATGATTAACACTTACGTTGCGCGCGAGCAGGCGTCCATAGGTGAGGTGGGCGGGCACGTGGTCAGGCTTGGAGGAGAGCGCGGCGCGGAACCAACGCTCGGCCTCTGCGTCGTGGCCCAGCCGCGAATGCGCCTCGCCCATCAGGTTGTACAGGCTCTGCAACACCAGCGAAGACATGCTGTGCTCATTCACACACGAAATGGTTTGTGATGCGAGAGGTAAAAGAGACATTTTATTTTGCGAGTAGGAAACGTTGAGGCACCGAAAGGACGAGTGGCTCAATCCTACGAGCAAAATAAAATCTCCTTACCCACGTGTCATACACCAGTTTTAAGACAGCCTTTTTGATTTTCAGTTTATTTCAGCAGTTATAACACAAAAATAATTATGTTAAATTAAAGTCAGTCGTATCTGATGTGATCAGACGATAGTCTTTGGTTTTCTTCGTTGAATTCACAGTTTTATTTGGACACTTGAACTTTGTCTCACTTTTAGCATGCTTTGCATCCAAATAATAATAATAATAATAATAATAATAATAATAATCGATTTTTTACGGGCTATTAAAAACGTTTTTTATAACATTACGGGAATTTCATGATAGTTCATTTGAAAAATTTGTATTCGGAAATGCATTTAATTATAAAATACGCATGTACAGTAAGTATTGACGACGTAGATATTTTTTTAAAAACGTGTAGGGCAAAATAGGGAAAAAAGAGTAACTAAAATGGCTTTGGTGTCATGCGAGTTTAGTTAAATCCGTACAAAATGCTTTAAAGAAAACAAATTGGAGATATTTTTGAGTAAATAACATTCTAAAATTTTTGTTTTTTCCACTCAAAGTTGCACTAAAATTACTCATATTTTAAAAAATGTAGGAGACATTAATTAAAGATCTAATGAAAAAACAACACGGGAAAATTCTTATTCTTAATGTCATTGTATGAGTAGGGGTCCATGTAATTTTAAACTTTTAAAATTTTTGAAAATTTAAAAAAGTCAATGAAAGTAAGATCTGATCAACGTTATGGGTGTATTTTACAGTTTTAGCAGGACTCATTTAATTATACTTAATGTGCGATAAATGAATAGTCCTGTGCATATCATGGTGGACACGAGATTTATTTCTTTACATCTTTATTTCTGAGTCCTGTCACGATCCTGCACAATGGATTCCCCAGAATTGAATAGGGTCGCTTGTGGTTAATGGCTTACCAAAAGTGGGTCCCCATGACTTCGAGTGGCTAGGATATGAGGCTTTCACCCAGCAGGCCCAGATTCGATTCCCGGCAATGGAAAAAGTTTACTTCTTCGATGGTGCAAAGGTTAGCGAATCTGTCATACCGGAGTTCGTGGATTAATAAGACGCATGCTGAACACGTGTATTGTAACTCTTTTTTCACTACTTGCTTTCGATTACCCAAGCTATTTTTTTTTAATTTTATATTTCCTTTTCCGGAAGACTTTCAAAGGATTGAAAAATAAATTATTTACATTCTTCTCATAATTTGAATAATAAGGTAGACAAGTTTTTTTTTGATTCACAAGTATTTCCTATTCAATAAATAAGAAACAATTAATGATGTATTCCATTTATGGTACTGAAAATATAATTCAAGATTACAGTAATTTGAACTCATTATAATTTTGTTGAAAAACAAAGTATTTTGAACAATATCTGAGAAAGAACTATTGAAAAAATGGCGTTTGCGTGACAAAATGGCGAGATTCAGTTCTTGATTTAGATATGTTTTTCCCAGTAAAAGAATAGTTGCTAGACAAGAAAATAATACAGGATTTTGATGATTTTGTTTGGCAATTCTATTTTTAATTTGATTTCTGGAAATGAACTAGCTTTCACTGACGTTTCGGAGGTCTGGGTTCGTAGGCTTCCGCGGCCGGATTCAATGCATTTTTAGCTATCCGGGATGAGCCTTCTTCAGAAATACTGCTATACTACTCTGAAGAAGGCCACAACAAGGCCGAAATGTCAGTAACATAGACCGAGACGCGGCTCATCCAGGATAGCCAAGAATGCATTGTTTCGGAGGTCTGGCCTTGGCCTTCTTCAGGGTAGAACATGCAGGAGATCAATCGCACATCTGTGGTCGCGAAATCGACGATACGGCTCCTGTTGCCGGCAACGTGCGTGCTGCGCATTCTAGGCCAGGACCCAAGCGCAAGCGGGCTGTTCGGCGTGTATGCGCCCGCGTGCAGAGGAACCTCCGGGAAGGAGGCGTGTCGCGCGTCGCGGCCCCCAGGCAGCGGCGGCGTCGGGTTTCTGCCGTGCAACCACAGCGCCCACGTCGCCGCAGCCGATCGCCGTGGGAGCCAAAGGGTGCGAGCCGTTCCAAAGAGGCAAAAAATACAAAAGATTTTTATTCTAATGCTTGCTCACTTTCCTAACACACGGGGTCGAGGGTATCGTGTTTGGCCGGGAGGTCTCATGGCTTCAGCCTCAGGGTGAAATATTTTCATCAAATATTAGATACATATGTCGAATTTTATCGCTGACCGGAGGACAATTCTTGTAGCCTGCTACTCTGATCGGTAGTTTTCCGCGGTTTCATAGGAAAATATCAGCTTACAGCATCGATTGATGTCACTGCAGAACCTGTGATCGGAAGGTCCTTAGGTTCGAGACCCGACGGTAGCAGTATTTTCGCTACTACATAGTGGGACTAATTAACCGTGGCCTGGAAAAGCGGCTGACTTCTCTGATCGGTAGATTTGCGTGGTTTCTCTGGTCAAAACCAGGTGAATGCACGATTTCTTCCCTCTTTCATTCATTTCCTCACCCTTGCTTATACCCGTGGCATGCACACACACACATACACTTACATGCACCACAGTACCCCACGTGCCGGGAGGCCAGTCCGGAGCTCAGCGCTGGTCCCGGCGGAGACCGGTCCCCGCCGGTGAGAGATACGTGGACGGGAAGAACACCCGCAAGTCGACGTATTGGTCTGTACCGGATCTCACCATTCAGCGTGGTATATAACCACCTCCAGCAATACAACACTTACGAGACTAATGACTTCAGGAGATAACGAGCTCGGAATTATCAATTCCAAAAATAACAGGTAAATGTTGGGGCAGGTCATAACAAACGAACAGAAGATCGCGTCCCCTCCCTTCCTCTCACAAACATTACCGTGCACTGCACTACCACATATCTGGAGAGCAATCTGGAGCGTAGAACTTCCAACTGGGGTCATGCATCGGTGAAAAGATATCGGATCACATATTTTGGATATGATTCCAATAGTTCAGGTCAACCATGAGACGTGGTTCTTTTTTGGGCATATTGTTTGGACTTAATCTCTGCCAGTTTTTATCTTACCTAATAATTATTGACTGCTTGTCGTTTATTAAGAAAGACCATATATCTCTTTGTAAGAATATAAATAAAAGACGAGCAAACGTATTAATTCAATTTTATTATTATTACTAGTAAATAATATTAGTAGTTTTCGTGTAATTGTGACAAATCTAATTTCATATGCCGTAATGGGTTAAATGGCAGTGATGGTTTGAAGAGTTGTTCTTATGAATATCTTTGTTAATCGGCAATATCTCTTAGAATGCAGATTATGATTGTTGAATTTGTGCTGATATATATATATATATATATATATATATATATATATATATATATATATAGGTTTAAAATAATTAATTTTTTGCACAAAATCTAGTATTATTAATATACTAATTAAAAATCTAAAGGTTTGCAAGTTTTACATTTTTTGTGTTCACAAGATTGAATAGTCGATTGCCCTTCAGCTCTGGCTGTTAGAGATAGTTTTTAAAGTTTCATTTCACTTTTTAAAGATTTAATCGCTGATTATGGTACAATATTTCTAAAGTTGGCAGCGGCCTTTGAAGAAAGAGGGGGGGGGGAAGTATATGCTGCAAATTCTATCACAATTGATTTTTATTATATTTGTTTTTTGTAGTCAGAAGTTTTTTGTAGATAAGAAGGGCAACTGTTTCTGGCTTCCGAGAAAATTACATATTCATACCTCAGGCGATACGTATGGCAACAAATTTATCAAATAGTGGCTAAGGAGTGTTACTAGGACAGATATAGCAATATCGTAATATTAGGAAACCGTTACTCAAGACGACGAGTGCTCTTGCAGAGAGTATCACTAGTTTGTCATAGAATAATGAAAAAACAGTGCTTGCATAATTCTCTCTCAACGTGAAATATTTTGTTCGGAATGTATTTCCTTGTCTTATGGCTTCCTAGCTAAATAAAATTGAGTTCGAATTATTTGTAACATTGGTTGCTAAATATTTACACGCATACAATTTTCGGCACATATCATTCTTTCATGACAGCATTCTTGATGTTCTTCACATCACGTAAATCTTCCGTAATTCATCTCGTAAAAGTTTTTTTTTTTTATAAGATGATATCGAGTTTCATTTTTTCACAATCGTGAGTTGGAAACTTATTATTACTTTTATTAAAGATAGAGACGTTCTTTCCTGGTACAAAGTGCTAAATTTTAAACATTTTTCAATTTTTTCCCCTCGAGTTTCAATTCATACGGACTATCAAGTTCTCGTATTCACCAAATTAAAACTGCTAATAGAAAACTGTCAAAAGTTTTCAATCCCGTTGCGTTTGGTAATGATGCCTACAAAACTGAAGTGGACATGTTTTCTGTACAGATAGTTATATAATATTATGTATCCGTCCCTATTACAAATATTTCTATAATGACATAGTAGGTATATACGGAAGTTTCATGCTTTCTGATTCCGAAAGGATACTTTATTCAGATATTTAAGACAATCAAATTGAATATTATTACGAATGTAATTTTTAATTTGTGATCAGGAATTATCAAATTGAGTGATAAGTTATTAGAATTCTAATTATTTGGTTTTATCAAATGAAATCTAATCAAATTATGATTAATCGGAAGAGAATCGTTGTCGATCATAAGGATTGTGACCCTTTCGAGTTGCAATGTTTACTACTTGTCCATTTGTTCAAATTGAACAGATGTTTATTTTTTAGGCTTTTGGGAACATTCATTGTCTGAATTGGCCGTAATTGTGTTGACTAGATCGTAACTCAGAATGCTACGTTAAACGTTATTGTCAAGATAAGGCTCGAAACTGTGGAAAAAATAAGT